TGGGAGAAGGAAAGGAGAACATTTTCACAAAGGGAGGTTTATGTTCTGATTTTAGGCAAAAATGAGGAAGACAAAGAGCTCTTTCTGAATTTGTTGCTTCCTCTCTATCTTCAGCTCAAAATAATCATTATACCAATGTGGCATCATCGTGTCTCATATTCTGATCTCCTTCATTAATTTATCTTACTGTAAAATTCCAAGCTGCTCTATTGCCCACAAGGTACATAACTTGGTTTTTTTTTTTTCCATTATCTCAGAAAGATTTTAAAAAATCTATTTCTCTTGCCTCAGGATAGAAAGAGAGGGAGGAGAGGTTGGGGTAGGGGTAGGGTTGTTTGTGAGATCAGGGAGCTGAGTGGTTTCCAAGAGAAACCTTATACCCCAACCCTCAGATAGAGACCCAGGAAGAAGGCAAGGCCACAGAGATAATAGGGCTGTTCATAGAGTCTAGGCTGAAGAAGACTGTGACAGGCCATCAAGGGAGTCAATAGAGAGACTGGAATAGGCTCATTGACCAGATTTACATCCTGTGTGGACCAACAACATTGACCAGACAGGCTGATATCTGCTGATATAGGTAAGTCAAGGACTACATTTTTTCTATTGTTCCTGCTGATGAAAGCAATAAGCCTGGTGAAATGGGGATACTTAGATTGATTAAGGCAGAATGAAGTATTGACTCATAATTTCCAATTGGGTAGAATTATTTACAAATTAAGATATATTTCTTAAACAACTTGATTTGTAGAATAAAATTTACATACTCTCTGGCATGTAGTAGAAAATCAACTTATTATTACTATTCTTGCTATAAATGTTGGAGGTGGCTTTTCAAAAAGTCAATATTAACTTATATTTACACAAGAGTAATGGCCAATTCAGGAATGATAAAGGATGCCACCGTTATCAGGGATGAGGCTTGAAATCCACTTTAAGTACATTGTAAACAAGGATGATATAGACTTAACATGCAGATAGGGAAGGGCAAATCACACATGTAGTGAGGAGCCAGACACTGAATAGTTAAAATAAATAGGGCTGTGAAAAGTGATTAAGGAAAGGCTGAGCCGAGAGATGGTAGCTGTCTTCAGATATTTGAAAAGCTTATTGTGGAAGATAGAATGTCCTTGTTCTAAATGGAAGTTGAAAGCATGAATGTTTGATTCAATCAACAGAAACAGGAAGTTTCTCATAGTTGAGCGTCCATCAATATTAAGGGATTCAAACAGATGTTCAATATTCATTTTATCTGGAATGTTGTCAGAAGATTCCTGTACGTAGAAGAATGTGGTCCTGGCACTTTTCAGTTTAAGATAGTATGATATGTGAGGCAGGCTGAGGCAACTGACATTACCAAATTCCAGAAAATATGCTGAGTGGTCTATATCTGCCTAAAAGCTATTTAAGTTAAACATTGTAAGTATTGTTATTCTTATTTTACAAATCAGGCTTACATAGTTTATATAGTAAACTGCCAGAGTTCACAATGATGAAAAATTGTAGGACCAAGTTTTGAATACAGGTCTACTGCATTAAAAGATCATGTACGTTTCACTATATACTCCATTTCCCTAATGTGCTCTTTCAAAGAAAAAGAACAGATCTTTAGTTTGAGGATGTAACTGTCAAGTTACCCAAATTTTACTAACATACTAACCAATGACAGGCAATGACTCATTGAAATATTTTAGATATGATTATATGGAAATATCAATGCATAAATTATGAACATTTTAACATAAAATATCACATATAAATAATTACTCTTCTGTCTTCTAGATGAATGTCCATCTGTTTTGGTTAATGTGATGGGTAATTTTCTGTGTGAATCTGGCATGGCCATGGTGCCCAAATATTTGGCCAAATGTTATTCTGGATATTTCTGTGAAGTTTTTTTTGTGGATGGGATTAACATTAAATCAGTTTATGTTGTATCCATGCTGTGCAAATGACAGAATTTCCTTCTTTAAGGCTGAATAGCATTCCAATGTGCATACATACCACATTTTCTTTACCTCTTTATCCTCTGATGGACAGAAAGACAAATACTGCCCAATTGCATATGTGGAATCTAAAAGGATGGAACTCATAGAAGAAGAGAGTAGAATGGTGTTAACTAGGGCCTGGGGTAGTACGGTGGGATTGGAGAAATGGTGGAAGGATACAAAGTTTCAGTTGGACAGGAGGAATACTTTATGAAATTTACTGCATAGCACAGTGACTGTAGTTAATAATAATTCACTCTATGATTCAAAATTGCTAAGAGAGTAAATTTCAAATTCTTTTACCACAAAAACGATAAATATATGAGGTGATGGATATGTTAATTAGCTTGATTTAATCATTCCACGTTGTATACATTATATCAAGGTATCACATTGTACTCCATAAATACATACAATTATAATTTGTCATTTAAGTATAAAAACAAATTTCAAAAAAATTCAATAAAAACTATTTTAAAAATCAGTGGATTTTGAGTAAAGCAGATTATTCTCCATAATATAGATGGGCTTCATCCAATCAGTTGAAGATCTTATCAGAACAAAGACTGACCCACACTAATCAAGAAGGAGTTCTGCCAGCAGACTGCCTTTAGACTCTGACTACAACTTTTCCCTGAGTCACCAGCCTACCAGCCTACTCTGCAGATTTGGGACTTACACCTCCATAATTGTGTGAGCCAATTCTTTAAAAAATAATGTCTAGGGAGATATACACATCTGGTTGGCTCCATTTTTCTGGAGAACCCTGGCTAGGGAAGTCTGTATTTATATTTATTTAAAATAAAGAAATAGTTATATATCTTTATTTGCCTTTATGTTTCCCGGTTTCTTCTAGCTTTAAAATTCCACGAGTGGAGCCACTACATGTACAAGCCTGAAAGTAAACCTTTTCCCAGTCAAGCCTTCACATCATACCACAGTCTTAGCCACAACTTTGCTGTCTGGTGAGAGACATTGAGCTAAGGCACACCCAGATTCCTGACCCACAAAATTGTGAAATAATTGGTTAAAACAAATTCTATGACTGGAGCTTAAATTTCATGGGTACAATCTAGAATAACTGAGGCTGACTCGAATTGGGAATCTGGGGACCTAGTCTTAGCCCCTGGTCACCTAGTGTGTGCAGATCTCACATCTCAAGGTCTCATTTCCCTGCCAGTAATGTGAGAGGGTTGGGCAGAGGAACTTTAGCTTTCCTTAAATGCTAAAATTCAATGTCTGTATTAATCACACTGTTTGTTCATCAAAATAAACACAGATAAAAGTTCCAAATAGAACACACCCTGGATGTTCAAGCCTCTGGAGTGAATGGCAGCGTTCCGGCTTCCTTTCTGCTCGTAACTGTGCGTAAGTCTTGCTCTACTTCTCTTTTTTTCCCACCCAACCGTACTCTGTCATAAGCTAATCAGCGTCAAATAATTTCTGAGGCACTTTTGCGTGTGGTCTGTGCATGTGTCCATGTGCGCCGAGCGAGCTGGGCTGTTCTGGCTCTGCAAGTGCATACAGCTCTTAGATGAGAAGGGTTGCCTCTAGCGTTTTTTGTGTTAGCTCTGGCAGTACACAATGGGAAGGGAGCCTCTTTCCAAGCGTGAGCCCTTCTCATCTCCAAGGGGGTGTGTCCAGCTCCCTTTGCCAGGCAGCTACTTTATAGGAGCCCTGGAGAGCAGGCGGAGGACTTTCCCCAACGAGTAGCGTCATTTGCGTTTGCAAATCAATCCCACTCAATAAAATGTTATGTGAACATCTTCCCAGACCCCTGTTAAAGGCCTTTCATTTTATGAGCGAGTGAGCGAAGACGGAACAGAAGAGAGAAGAAAAGAAAGAGACAGAAAAGTAAAGCAAAGCAATGACCCGGGAGCTGGACGGAGGGGCCTCCCGCGGGGGCTCGGGTGGGCTGCGGCCGGGAGATGGCCACGTGCGCGCCCGCCCTCCGAGCTCTCCCTTTCTGTCGCCGAGGGTCTCCTAGGAGGGTCTCCTGGGGTCCCCGCTCGCGACGCTCCGGCGACCTCTAGGTCTGCCCCGTCGCGCGTTCCCAACCCCCCCCCGCCCGGGAGCGGAGCCGGG